AAGATTAGAGAGGAGGTAAACAAAAAACAGAAAAACTACTAACACTGAAGGTTGGTTCTCTCTCTCTCTCTCTTTTTTTTTTTAGTGCTGTGAATCAAATCCAGGGCCTCACGCAAGCCCATCAAGCAATCAAATGCTCTACCACTGAGACACATCCCCAGACAAAACGTTGATTTTTCTAAAAGATTAACAAAATTAATGTGGCTAGGATTATCATATACACAAAGAAGCAAAAATAAAAAGAAAAAAAAATATATATATACAGGTGTGTGTGTGTGTGTGTGTGTGTGTGTGTGTGTGTGTGTGTTTTAAGTCAGGGGTACTTTATCTTTGAGCTACATCCCCAGTCTTTATTTAATTTATTTTTTATTTTGAGACAGGATCTCACTAAGTTGCTTAGGGCCTTACCAAGTTGCTGAAGCTGGTCTGGAATTTGCAATTCTCCCACCTCCAGCTTCCCAAGTCACTGGGAGTCACCACACCCAGCTAAAATTTTTATAATGTTAAATAACCATCTGAGTGGGGACAAAGTAATCAGGGTGCAAGGGAGAGTATGATCATAGGTAAATGCAACATCAGGAAAAGTCAGAAAAGACAGTTCATAGAAATAAGACCAAAGGTGGCCAAGAATGAGAAATGGCTACATCTTTGCCTAAGTTATTAATCAGTGGCAACGTTTCATTACAGCCAGTGGAAAGTTACACAAATACCATTAGAAAGACTCCCCTAAATCATTAGAAATACTCTACCTTCCAAATGTGAGAGGTCTTATTGTTTCACAAATGTCTCAAAATATCCAAAAATTTCATGCAAGTTGGTCCAAATGTTAAACAAGTCTTGAGGAACAAGATGTATGTTGCGGGAGGCAGCAAAGAACTGGACTTACATGCAAGAGGTTAAAACCAAAGAGAACATTTTTTATCTTGGCACAATGGCCCATACCTGTAATCCCAGCTACTCAAGAGGCTGAGACAGGAAGATCACAAGTTCTAGACCAGTCTTAACAATATAGTGAGACTCTTAGCAATTTAGAAACACCCTGTTTCAAAATAAAATAAATAAGAATGAAYGAAGATATAGCTTAGTGGCAAAGCTTTTCTGGGTTCAATCCTAGTACTGCCTCCCACCAGTGTGGTTTTTTTTTGTTGTTGTTGTTTTTTTGTTTTTTGTTTTTTGTTTTTTAGAGGACTGGAATGTAGATGTTCAGTGGTAGAGTGTCCCTGGGTTCAATGGCCAGTACCACATCCGGCATTGCAAAAGTTTTGGCCAGATGGGACGCATTCTAAATCCTCTGCCCCTCAGATATCCATCCAGCCTTGTGTGCAACCTTGGTGATAGCCAAAATTTAGTAGACAGAAAGTCTGAGATACAGAGCTGGTAGAGGGGCCAGACATCTAATTGGGGCATGCATTCCTGGGAGTATAGGACGAATTTTTAAGCATTAGTGAGAAAAACAGGTTGTTGTTTTTTAAAAAAAATAAAAAATAATAACTATCTTTTAGTTTTATTTTAATGTGAGGATGAGAATTGAACCCATTGCCTCACACATGCTAGGCGAGCGCACTACCACTTGAGCCACATCTCCAGCCCTGAGAAGAAAAGTTTTAAAAGAAATCTATTTCTAGGGCTGGGGATGTGGCTCAAGTGGTGGCGCGCTTGCCTGGCATGCTTGAGGCTCTGGGTTCCATTCTCAGCACCACAGAAAAGAAAATAAAGATATTGTGCCCACCTAAAATTTAAAAAATAAATATTTAAAAAAAGAAAGAAAGGAAATCTATTTCTAAACCTTCAGCTTTGGCCAGCACCTATCACAGACTCGGAGAAAAGCCACCAGGGGGGTCAGAGGTCAGGCATGTGAGTCTGATTGGGCCTTTCCTGATGATTTGAAACAATCTCTAAGACTTACGACCAGGAATAGATGAGCATCAAAATATTAGCCAGGCGCTTTGGAAGGGATGATCGCAAATTTAGACAATTTCCTAAGACCCTGTCTCAAAATTTAAAGGATACAATAAAAAGGGCAGGGGATATTGCTGGGTGGTACGGTACCCCTAGATTCAATCCTCAGCACTGATAAACAAATACAATTGGGGAGGTGAGTTAAGTCCCCAGTACTTAGGGTGGGGGGTGACGAAGAAGCCACTATCATTTCTAGGGAGATCTGATGGAATCCTCAGGATTTCACGCTAGAATAAATTTTGATTGAATTTACAGCGGTCAAAGAGATGGGATCTGYCTAATCGAGCGGCTGAGCACTGCGCCAGAAGTTTGAGGCTGTGTGTTTAATGCAGTACAGACACGAGCAAAACCGTTTTGAGTTCAAATCCAGGTTCTCTTTGWCTTTTTGTGTCCTTGAGCAGACTGTTTCAATATCTTCAGTTTACGCCTCACATAATGACCAAGATAAAATGCACCTCCTAGGACTGTGGTTGAGATGAAATGGCCAATTAATGTGAATTGCTTCACCTCACAATGGGATCGCAGGAAAGGATTACAGCTTTGTCTGGAGGTGCCTCAGGTAGGTAATACAATCACTCTGGGCGTCCTGAAGTCTTGAAATGGAAATTTAAAAGTTGATGGTGGGCTCCACCCTGGAGGGCGTGGTKGAAGGGGGGGGAGGGAATCCGGAACCCAGAACATCTCTCAGGGCGATAAAAGGGCCCAGCACCGTGCCCTGCTCCCAGTGCGAGTTCTGTTGGCTGTAGGCGCAGCCCTCGACGTGCGCAGGGCAGCCCTCGACGTGCACAGGCCTCGCTGGGCTTAGGCCTGGGCTGGAACTCTGGATCTACTTCTGGTGAGTCGACGCCTTCAAATCCGTGGGCAAAAAGTGGTGTCCCAGACTGGGAAATCAAAGACTCCAAGTTGGCGGGTTGGTTAATGCGGGAAGACGAGGCAGAGGCGGACGAAGTGGATCCTTTACTCTGGGTCACGTTCATGGATCACCTCCACATGGTTGCCCTGCCCAGAAAATACCTTCCACCAAACAACCTGGGTCTGCACCAGACAATGTCGGAAGCACCTGAAGGCCTCTTGAGGCCAGAGTCGAGGCCTTGACTGCCCGCAGGAGTCCCAGACTGTGGCCCGGTGCTGGGCATCTGCAAACGTCCTTGTGGGTAGAAGGCACCGAAGGACACGCAGAACAGAACCCCAAGCGGATGAGTCAGAGTGACCTGGGAGGGTTCAGTTAAAAACACGTTAGAGCCAGGCGAGGGGTTGCACTCCTGTAGCCCCGGCGATTTGGAGGGCTGAGGCAGGAAGATCACAAGTTCATGGCCAACCTCAGCAACTTAGCGAGGTCCTAAGTAATTTAGTGAGACCCTGACTCAAAATAAAAAAATAAAAATAATAAAAAGGACATACAGTTAACGAGCCAGAAACAGAGGCTTATCTATGGATAGGACTGATTGTTTTAAGAATCCCTTTAATCTGGGGTAGATCCCATCTGCTTTCCTGAGAACCTGAAGCCTTAGCGATCTGAGGCAGAKCCTGAGCCGGTGGTGTGGAAATCAGAAATTCTTCTTTGGTTCCGTTTCACTGCGGTATCAGGCAGCTCTGCTGGACGAATAGAGTTCTCCGGCTCAGAGTGGTGGTGGGGGGAGGGGTAGACAGGAATGCCTCTAGTCCGCTGGAGAAATGGTTGGAGAGGAAATACAAAAGGAAGATGTTGGAGTTCGATTTCCCCCGCTTCCCCGTACTAGGGATTAAACTTCATCACTGAGCCACACCCGCACCCCTTTTAAAATTTTTATTTTGAGACAGGGTCTCACCAAGCTGCTGAGATTGGCCTCAAACTTGCAATCTRGGCCTGACTGGAGGTTGATTATAATGAGGACTTTATCGCATAGAATTTCTGTATCCACCAATTCCCTTCCCCCATCGCAGGGTCAACCACCATCCCACTGTCTCCCATGAATTTGACTGTTGTGAAGTATGCTATGTAAACAACATTACATGGTATTTGTCTTTTTTTGTGTGACTGGTTTATTTCATGATGCATAATGTCCTCAAGGTCAATCCACATTATAGCATATGTCAGCATTTTCTTATATTTTAAGGCTAAAAAAAATCCATTATTTGTATATACCACATTTTACTTATTAATTCATCTGGGTGGCTTTCATGTTTTATCTACCATGCTATGAACATGGGTGCACAATTACCTCTTCCAAACCCTGTTTTCTTCAATTCTTTGAGGTAAATACTGAGAAGTAGGATTGCTGGATCATATGGTAATTCTGTTTTTAATCGCCATACTGTAGTTGTGCCATTTTGTTATGCATTCCTGCCAACGGTACAGAAGAGTTCCAATTTTTTCACATTCTCAACAACACTTGTTATTTTTCTGGCCTTTTCTTTTTTTTTTTTTTTTTTTTTGTGTGTGTGTGTGTGTACTGGGGATTGAACCCAGGGGCACTTTACCAGTAAGCTGTCTCCTGTCCTTTTTATTTTTTATTTTGAGACAAGGTCTCCCTAAGTTCAAGGCCAGCCTTGAATTCTCCTGTTTCAGCCTCTGGAGTCCACCTGGCCCAAGTCACTTCACTAATTTTTAAAATGGTATTAATCATGACTCCCATATCCTGGAGTCATGGTAGAAATGAAATGAGATGAGAAATGTGAAAGTTCATTCATTTAACTGAGTCCCTAATAAGATGTTTGGGAAAGGGGAGCATCCTTGGAAAAGCCTCTGGGATGATCACTCTGCAGGAGAAGACAGGCTAGTCGGTAGGAAGAGCATAGGAGGAGTTTGCATTTTAGAGATGTTAATCTGTTTGTGTGGAGACTGTACCAGCCTGAGGCAGTTTCAGGCTTTCAGGCTTCAAGGCTTGAGATGAGGTGGAATGGTGGAATGGGCTAGATAGTGTCAGTAGGGATGGGGAAGAGTTTGTGGAATTGGGATTAAAACTGGGATAGACTCTTACCTTTTCTTCTTTTTTTTTCTTTTTTTCCTTTTTCAGGATCCCACAACTGAAGATCTCATTTCATCATGTAATAGCAAAGAGATGAACTCCTTCTTCCAGACAATTGAGGAAATTGAGGAGCTTCTCCAGGTCTTCACTGAATCTTATAAGGACATGGAAAAAATGTCAGCAGTGCCAGAGCCACAGCTCTGTATGCCTCTGACCATCTCTGGTGAGGGCAGACTTCATGAGTTCACCCAGGGTCAATCAATGCCTTCCTCGAGGCCTTCAATGGAGACTTCTGTATGTTCTAACATCCCTGGAATGGTCTTCACCCAGCAGACTCCTCCTAGTGAAGCCCTTGATACATTCCTTGGAGAACTAAGTGGGACTTTGTCCATGAACCCCAAAATGACATCCTTTGATCAGATAAAATCCTCAGCAGAATTCCAGAGGATGAATATTGCTGACACCCCAGAGACATCACTCATCGATTGCCAGAAAACTACTGTCACTGCAAGCATGATGACAATCTCTAGTGAAGTTAGCCAAAAGAAGACATTAATAGGTAATCAGACTCTCAGTGAGATCCAGATGACAGCCCTGTGCGGAGGACAGATGATGACCCTCAGTGAGAATCAGACTCTCTATGGAAGCCAACCAACAACTCTTAAAAGGGGCCATGTGATGACCTTCAGGGGTTTTCAGACTCTGATTGAGGACTATACCATGACTTCCAGTAGTGACCAGACCCTCTGTGGGGGTCAGATGACAATGGCAAGTGGTAATCAGATCCTTTATAGGTGTCAGATGACAACCCCTAGTGGTGACCAGACCTACTATGGGGGTCCGATGGCAAATCTCAATAGTGACCAGACCCTCTATGGGGGTCAGATGACAACCCCAGGTGGTGACCAGACCTTTTATGGGAGTCAGATGGCAACCCCAGGTGGTGACCAAACCCTCTACGGGGGTCAGATGGCAACCCCCGGTGCTGACCAGACCCACTACGGGGGTCAGATGGCAACCCCCGGTGCTGACCAGACCCTCTACGGCGATCAGATGGCAATCTCCAGTGGTGACCAGACCCTCTACGGCGATCAGATGGCAATCTCCAGTGGTGACCAGACCCTCTACGGCGATCAGATGGCAATCTCCAGTGGTGACCAGACCCTCTACGGCGATCAGATGGCAATCTCCAGTGGTGACCAGACCCTCTACGGCGATCAGATGGCAATCTCCAGTGGTGACCAGACCCTCTACGGCGATCAGATGGCAATCTCCAGTGGTGACCAGACCCTCTATTGCGATCAGATGTCTATCCCCAGTAGTGACCAGACCCTCTACGGCGATCCGATGGCAATCCCCGGTGGTGGTGACCAGACCCTTTATGGCGATCAGATGGCAATCCCTGGTGGTGACCAGACCCTCTACAGGGGTCAGATGATGCCCCATCAGTCTTCATCATTACCATACCCAGGATTCCTAAACGATTCAAGCTCCGCTTTGATTCAGGGACAATTCCCAGAAAATAAATGGAAACTCAAGACTCAGAGATATCAGTTTCAGAAGAATTCTAACATTCTGAAGCCCTATGCCTGCACCTACCAGGACTGTGGGAAATCTTACACAAAGTATTCCCACCTCCAAATCCATGAGCGCAAACACACTGGTAAGTGAGGGCCCCAGTGTTGGGGAGGGGCAAGTAGATTTGTATTTTTGCAAAACTGGGATTGGTTGAGATTGTTGCCATCCCACCTCTTGGCCTGAGACTCCAGGCACTTACCGCCAGGCCTGTCTTAGAGGCTCTTGCCTCTACCTTTCCTGGGACTGTCACTTCATGGAATACCTAGTAGGTATGGTAAATTGAAGATACCCCTTCCTTCACTCTTCCTACACCCCACTGACTTTCCTGTTAACCTCTACCTCCCTTCTATTTTATTTTTCTTTCTGTCCTTCACAGTTTTCCTCCAATTCATGTTGCCTATCAGCATTTCCACTTTCACCCCAACATGCTCGACCTTTTCCTCCTTCACTTTCAAAATCCCTGCCCCACCTGACCCTGACGAATAAAAGCCTCTCTTTTCTGTGTTTCAGGGGATAAGCCCTATGTATGCAATGAGATTGGATGCACATGGAAATTCACCCGCTCAGATGAGCTCCGACGCCACAAAAGGAAGCACAGCGGAGAACGGCCCTACCTGTGCACCAGATGTTGTAAGACTTTTGCACGATCAGATCACCTAAAGCAACACGAAAGAGTCCACAGATAATTTTCACAATTGTGTATACCTAGAATTCTCTGTAAAACTTTTTTTTGGTACTCAGCACTATGCTAGCATATAGTGGATTTGTAAAGTTTTTCATTTTTTTTCCCTAAAGCACACAAGGAAAATATGTATGTATTTTCATATAGAAACTGGATAATACAAAATGGAATAAATAAAATCAGAAGTACTCTTCATTCACTCTCCTCTATAGAGTAACTGCTTTTTGTCAGTGTGCTATAAGCCCTTCTAGATCTTTCTCTGCATTGGCCTCTGTGTGTGCACTTATAAAAATGTATTTAGCCAGGTGTGGTGGTGCATGCCTATAATCCCAGCTGCTTGGGAGGCTGAGGCAAACAAACAAAAAACCCAAATGTATTGTGAAAACTGTCAATTCCTACAATAGATCAAAACCAACATGGAAATTGAACATGGTGGTACTTGTAACCCTAGCAACTCAAGAGGCTAAGACAGGAGGATTGCAAGTTCAGCTTCAGAAATTTAAAAACACTGTCTCAAAAAGGGCTAGGGATGTGGCTCAGTGATAAAGTACCTCTGGGTTTAGTCTCTAGTACCAACAAAACCAATCAATATGGAGCCAGAAATTGAGAGGGGTGGGTAGTCTCATATTTGTATGTCTGAAAACTGTGACACTCTCTGAAGTTTATTATGCAAAAATACTATTGATAACAGTATTAAAGAATTCTGACAGCACACACACACAAAAAAAAAAACAACAAAAAGTTGCTTCTTTCCAGCAATATGAATGTTGCCAATTAGTAATTTTCAGCTTCAGCTCCTTCAATGAGCCTCTGCGGCTAATGAACATTGTCTCTGGACAGATTATATGAAAACCTCCCCCATTTTTTTTCTTTTTTTTAATATTTATTTTTTAGTTTTAGGTGGACATAATATCTTAATTTTTTACGTATGTGGTGCTGAGGATCGAACCCAGTGCCTCACACATGCTAGGTGAGCACTCTACCACTGAGCCACAACCCCAGCCCCATATGAACCCTTTTTTTACCTTTAAAAGTTTCCTTTGCCCTAGCTCCCCTCCTTAAAAAAAAATTATAGATGGACACAATATTTTTATGTGGTGCTGAGGATCAAACCCAGTACCTCACACATGCTAGGCGAGCACTCTATCACTAAGCCCCTGCCCCAGCTATGCCCTAGCTTCCTTGGATACGCTTATCTGTCATAACACACATATATCCTGGATTATAATTGCCTGCTCATTTCCAATTAGACTCATTTTTCTTTAGAATCTCTCTTCTGCTACTCAGGGTGACATAATGTGGTGCCAGAAGTAGGATCCAAATCGAGATTCCCCTTTGAAAGAATCTGCAGCCCTTGGATTTGAGTGTGGTACCCACTTGAGGCCTGTGTGATTTCCTCTTCCTTGGCTCACCTTTTCTGCCCCACGAGTCTTCTCAGGTTGAGCTGCTGCTTTTTGGTAGAAATTCCATGCCTTTATTTGGAATCTGGTTTGAATAAAACTGCCTTAATAAAGGAACTTGCATCCCTTCTGGGACTATAAAGGATTGATTTTTCCTGGCAAGTTTGATCCTCAGCACCACATAAAAAGACAGTGCATCTTACTGATTCTGATAAGTACTCTGGTTTACACCTCTGCAAATGGTTTTTCTCTTTTCCTTATTTTTTCTTTTTCTGTGTATGTGTGTGTATGAACATCTTTAAAGAGCTAAAATAAACCAGGTGAGGTAGTCCACGCCTATAATCCCAGCAGCTCAGAAGGCTGAGGCAGGAGGATTGCAATTTGAAGGACAACTCCAGCAACTTAATGAGACTCTGTCTCAAAAAATAAATAAATAAAAATAAAAAATTTTTTTAAAGGCTGGGGATGCAGCTTAGTAGTAAAGCACCGCTGGTTTCAAACAGCAAGATTAACTGGGCCCATTGAATTTTCTTTTGCTCTCAAAGAGACGAATACAAAACAATGGGGTTTTCAATGGCTAAGGCTTGCCAGAACATTTTGCCTTTGGGGACTCCAGCTGGCTATGTGTTTAAACATCATTGCCTATTGTCATGCACACTTAACCCATAGACACTTTACTCCAAGGATAATTTAGAGTTCAGATGACCTTTCATTCAAATTTCCTACCCTTGTTTTTTTTTTTTTTTTTTCTTACAACTAAATTAGAAGACCACAGCTATAAGGTTAAATAATCTCAGTTGGCACATTGAGGTTTCGAAGTGCAATTAGAAAACTGCTCACTGCAAATTACCATTTCCAAGCTGGCTGAGATTGGTCTCCTGACCCTCCTCCTCCCCTTCTTACAATTCCTTTGGTCTTCATCCTTACCTGAATGAACACCTTTCCCAAACTCCGCAGCTACAAACCCAGTTCTTTCTACATCCACCAACTCAGTTTTTTTTTTTTNTTGTTATAGTTTCTTAGGAATTCAAATTAGTACTTCCTTTCCCACCCAATCACTTTCCTTATGCCCCTTAAAGTGGAATTAGAAATGAAACAGTTTCTTTTGCTGAACTGGAGTTTCAAAAAAGTAAAAATGGAGTGGTTCCACGTAAGAATGTTGGGGCTTTGTTCACGAATTAAAGAAAGCAGCTGTCCCACTGACCGGAATCCCACATGGGTGGAGACGGGAAGGCTGTGAGAGTCTCCACCACGAGCCACATTTCTAAGATGATGTCTCCTCCCTGTTAGCCAAGAAGCTGATCAGCTGAAATCAGTGATGAGTCCGGTGGAGCAATTCCCTAAGTTCTAAGTTGAGAGAATTTGAGAGTGTAAGAGCACAGGGGTTCATTTAAGTCCACGCCTCCTTCCCAGCTAGTTCTTGGATCCTTCTTCTCCTGGTCAGTCTCTGGATCCCTCCTCTCTCCAGGCTCCCCAGACAGCCTTCCACGACCCTTCCTATTTCAACATAAGAAGAATTCTCACTAACACCAGCACATCCAAGGAGAATTTTTAAATATTTATTTTTTAGTTCTAGGCGGACACAACATCTTTGTTGGTATGTGGTGCTGAGGATCGAACCCGGGCCGCACGCATGCCAGGCGAGCACTCTACCGCTTGAGCCACATCCCCAGCCCCCAACTCAGTTTTTAATAAGTGAAATTTCTAGGAAATTTCCAATAGGGAGAAATGAAAAGATTAAAAAGGTGTTATTCTGGCATATTAAGGTAAAGACATTTGAAAAGTAGCAAGTGTGAAAAAAAACAACAACCACAAAAACCACCACCTCAATCTTTGCAATGATTCTTTAAAAACGAGGATAAAATTCCCACGTGAAAGACTCTCAAGGAAAGACAGTGTCTTTCAAAGACAAAAAATTGAGATCAGGATAATATTGGATAAATTTTAGATAACTCTTATGTTTTTAAGCCTCCCCATAGGATTTAGTCACTTCACAGTTTTTTGATCTTTGTCCAATCCAGTATATTTTAATTGACTCCTAACTGCTTCATGAGCATTTTCTTATTGCCTCTGCTGATATGTCCAAGCTGGGGTGATCTGTATTCTATTCTTGCAGAAGCCTGGATTGATAATTGTTCCTGAGATTTTTTTTTTAACCCATCTTTCCCTGTTGACTGGGTTCTCCAAGATCTATTCTCTGAGTTCTGTTTTGACTTCCATCCAACACCCTGCTTGTGTAGTATCTCCCTGATGGAAAGTTCTRGGTAAAGTCAAGGATGTGATCCATCCCACTCATTTCCTAAGGGGCACTTTGAAAAGCACTTTCTTCCTGGAGTCCTAAGAGGGGAGCAGACCACAAAGCCCCAGTGCTGCAATTTTCCCTGCAACATTTGAGATTCTTCTGGATCCCGTCCACTGTCTCCTCCAGAGACACCAGTGTTCAATCCCTAAGTCTTTAAGGGATCAAAATGGCATTCTGAAAAAAAAAATTTAATTTTAATTTAATGAAATAATGTATATAAGTTATAGTTGCAGACATTAAAAATGAATACATGCAAAAATCCATCACCTGGTATCATGCAATCAGGTGCTAAGATGGCCAATTCAGGGGCTGGGGATGTGGCTCAAGCGGCAGCACCCTCACCCGGCATGCGGCCCGGGTTCGATCCTCAGCACCACATACAAACAAAGATGTTGTGTCTGCCGAAAACTAAAAAATAAATATTAAAAATTAAAAAAAAACTTATAAAAAAAGATGGCCAATTCAGATAATGCACCAAACGAAATGATAATCAGTCAGTGTGCAGTGGTGCATACCTGTAATCTCAGCAGCTCAGGAGGCTGAAGCAGGAGGATAGCAAATTCAAAGCCAGCCTCAGCAACTTAGTGAGGCACTTAGCAACTCAGCAAGACCCTGCCTCTAATAAAACACAAAAAACGAGGTGGTTTGGTGGTTAAGTATCCCTGGGTTCAATTCCCAGTACCAAAAAAAAAAAARGGGGGGGGGGAACCCAGTTGATAATCAACCCTTTACTTAGGGCTACACAGTAAGAAATAAAAAGAGGGACAGGCTCTCTGAGGTTTTGTCTTTCCCTATGGAAAGATTTAAGGTAGAATTATCTAATGATCTTCAGGCCCCTGAACAAAAGACTCCTCCTCCTCCTGCCTTTTAAAGAAAAGGGTTAGTTGGGGAAGGAAGAGAAAGGGATAAAAGTGGAAAAGTAATGAATCAGATAAGAGAAAGAGCCTTAGCCCAGGCTCCTATGTGAGCTTTCCAATGCTATGACAAAATAACTGAGATAAGAACCTCAAAGGAGGAAAGATTTATTTTGGCTGCATTTCAGGTTTTAGTTCATGATTGCTTGGCCCTGTTGCTCTTGGGCCTGTGGCAGCACAGCGCGTCACGGAGCAAGCATATGACAGTGGAGGCTTGTTCACCCCACTGTGAACAGGAAGCAAAGAGAGAAATTGGAAGAGGCTAGGGTCCCMATATCCCCTTCAAGGGCACTCCCTCAGTGACCTAACTTCCTTCCATTTGGGGACATTCAAAATTCAAACTCTAGAAGTCCCTAAGGACTTCTGAACAAAAGGCTCTTACCTTTTA